GGTTTGCGTGCACTCTGAGTGGCTGTAGGCGGTGCTCCTTCTCATGTTCCCCAGGCATATTCTCTCCTGGTCTCCTGGTGCGGCTCCTGCCGCCGGGCCTGTCTCACGCTTCGCCTTACCTGACGCACCCTGGCCCTCATTCTGACCGGGCCCTTGTGCGTTGGTTTTTGGGGGTCCAGAGATCTCCTATCGAACATCAATCTTCCTGGGTAAGTGTACTTCATGAATCTCATTTTCACCTTCTAGTCTCCCCAAGTGGAATAGCTGTTCGAATATCAGCGCTCTAAACACCAGCAGTTCATCTTTCATTCAGCATTCTCCTTTCCCTCTCACTGCACACTCTCAGTCTCTGGACATCAGCATCGCGGGTACTGCTGTCACTGCCTCATCTACATCGGCATTAAATACATTCTCTAAAATCCACTTCGAGTCACACTGCTCCACCCTCATAAGAAGATCCTTAAAGGAGTATTGGCAATGGTCCTTGTTCTGTAGTTTAGGTCCTGGACGACTAGCCTGTTTGTCCATGGAGTGGATCCCTCTCTCATGTAGGGTCTTCCGAAGGTTTCTCACTTTTTCCCCACAGGGTTTTGTGAGTTTTCCTTGCCATGCAGGAGGGTCTGGACAGTTAGTGGCCCGTGGTGATGATCCAGGATACTTTACATTCTACAACATGTATGGACATTTTATCAACATTCATAGACTATAATTACTCCTTAAACAATCCCTTGACGACCCCTTGGTCTGAACAAATTCAAAACCTGCGCTCCCTGCATGTAACCTCTCTTCCTTTCTCTACACCCGCCACTCCTTCCGGATAGGAGCAGCCACTTGGGCTGCTGCCCTGGGACTCCCTCAATCATCTCTCCAGGAGCTCGGTCCCCAGTTCTCTACCACATTCATCCGTTCTGGCAGCCCAGCGCCTCCTCTCATATAAGTACGTATGCATCTCCTGGTGGTGGCAACTCCTCATTCCAGCATGCCGCGCACTCGAGCCGAGCTCGTGCGCGTGCCAACGCCTAGCGCTAGAGCCGAGCTCGCGCCCGGACATTACGCCGCGCCCTCGAGCCGAGCGCGTGCCAACGCCTAGCACTAGAGCCGAGCTCGCGCACGGACATTACGCCGCGCACTCGAGCCGAGCTCGTGTGTGTGCCAACGCCTAGCGCTAGAGCCGAGCTCGCGCACGGACATTACGCTGCGCACTCGAGCCGAGCTCGTGCGCGTGCCAACGCCTAGCGCTAGAGCCGAGCTTGCGCACGGAAACAGTCACTCACACCATGCGCCTTCCATAAACGCAGCAACCAAGTCGTGGCAAACGCATCGCTAGCCAAGCTCTCTTTTTTGGGGATCATGATCTGCACCCAGGCGCAGATCTTTTCAGAGCATGGCCACAGCCGGGGCCTAAGCTCCAAACCAATAAACAAACTCAATCCATAAAATAAACAACTCTTAAACGCATCTCGTCTCTTGTAGTCTCTCCAGGTTGAAATGCAGCTGAAGCGGAGGTTCAGGATGGTAGACTACCTACGTTATCACACCAGGCTTGACCACGCCTTACTCAGCCTGTCTTAATCAACTCCCCGCAGCCGTGTCAATCAAGCCAGCGTTTAAGAGAACAGCAGAGCACAGCTCACCAGCGGACTTCAAGCTGCAACCACCTCCTCCCCACCTCCGCCTCAGGATTTCTTCACTCTCACATTCACCTTGCCTTGTTGCCACCACCAGTGTCTAGGCCCCGGGGGATCATGATCTGCACCCAGGCGCAGATCTCTTCAGAGCACGGCCACAGCCGGGACCTAAGCTCCAAACCAATAAACAAACTCAATCCATAAAATAAACAACTCTTAAACGCATCTCGTCTCTTGTAGTCTCTCCAGGTTGAACCAGTAGGAGTAGTATATCCAGGCTGCATGAGGAACTCAGACTTGTGATAATCCATCCATCCATCAATTTTCTTCCACTTCATGTCGCGGGGCCTAAGCAGAGACGGCCAGACTTCCCTATCCACACACACTTCCTCCAGCTCATCCGGGGGGGCGCCAAGACGTTCCCTGGCCAACTGAGAGACATAGAGAACTGAGAGATGCCCGAGCCACCTCAACTGGTTCCTTTCGACGTGGAGAAGCAGCGGCTCTAGTCCAAGCTCCTCCCGTGTGACTGAGCTCTTCACCCTATCTCTAAGTGAGCGCCCAGCCACTCTGCAGAGGAAGCTAATTTTGACTGCTTGTATCCGCGATCCTGTCCTTTCGGTCATTACCCAAAGCTTTTGACCATAGGTGAGGGAGGAAACGAAGAGCCTTTCAGCTTAGCTCCCGATTTACCACAACGGCCCGATGCAGCAACCGTATCACTGCACATTCTGCACCTTTCTTCCACTCGTAGCGGGAGCGGGAAGCCTCTTCATTGACCGGAGGCCACGGGATGTCCAGTCTGTACGCAGTGCGTTTTCACACGCTTTTTTGTGCATTAAAACATTATTTTTGCGCATTAAAACATTATTTTTGCGCATTAAAACATTATTTTTGTGCATTAAAATTATAATTTTGTCATGAAAACGTTAACAGATAATTCTGAAAACCTCATGTGTATACTGTATGTATAATGTGTTCTCCGATTAACATTTACTTGTGTTGATTGATTGTTACGGAAACGTAGGCGTAGACCAATCAGAAAGGAAGGGGGAGGGAGCTTGGGTCGTTTTTTTCATGTACCTCTCTCTCTTTTTCTGACAAACTCCAGACAACCACTTTAATCAAGATTTTGTTCCCGTAAATAATGATTTAGTTACGACTTTAATCTCATAAATAATGATCTAGTTTCAACTTTATTCTCGCAAATAATGATTTAGCTACATTAATCTCAAAGTTTATTTTAATTTTTTTCTAAATGTCACCCTGCTTCGTCGTTGGACAGAAGTTTATAAGTATTATAAGTATTATGCCGCGTTCAGACCGGTATCATGCGTTGCAGCAACTTTCAATGCAAAGTCAATGGTGATGCGTGTTCAAGCAGGGAACTGCATGTGCGTCTCGGGATACACGCAAGGACTGTGCAGTAGAGGCGCAGTAGCAGAAAATAGACGCATGCGGGAGATAAACATTGCTGAACTTTTTCCTCTGGACGCTCGTGCAGAGACTAATCAGAGAGCCGCAAAGTGTTCACGGGGACATTAGCGGACTGAGCGAGCAGGCTGAAAATACTCGTAAACAGCCAAAACAGGAGCTACATCAGGACTAAACCAGGGTTGACAATGTGCTTGTGAACGTATGCGTTCTCATGCTCCCGTGACTGTATACAACTGCTTCTAGCGTGTTCGCCGATACGCATACTGCTGTTATATATAGTCTCTGGAAGGTCTCTGGACACAGAGACGCTGCCGAGCTGCATTGTTGGAGAAGAACTTTACACAAAAAGCTGCTTGCTTAACTCTGTCAGCATCAAAGTCCGCCCGCTTGTGATGGGACAGAAGTTGGGGGCTTTTTATATTTGATGCATGCTGAGTGTTTTTATACTCTTATTGATTTTAAATGCAGCATGGAGTGGTTTTATTGTTTTGTTTTCAGACGACCCATGTTCCCTTGTATCGTTCTTTTCTGCCCGTTTCCCTGCCGGTGTATTTTGTGTGCAGGAGCAGCCACATCAGAGGAGCCTGCTCAAGACACGCCGTGCCTCGACAGGGAATTCCCTTTTCACTTTCTTTTATTGTTACATATTTTAACATTGGTTTTAATATGTTGTAACTAAATATTTTAATTGGTATTATCTGTCTTGTTTTTACTGGGTCAGTTGCTCTCACTGTTTTTAGGTTTTTAACATTTTAGTAAAATATGGCCTCATTACATTTCTGGCGTTGCTTGGCAGGATTTTATTGTGAGAGGACTGTTTCCCTGTAAATGCCCAATTTTAAAGGGCCAGGTGACAATATTAAGTATTCTGATTGGAAGGAGCAGCTTAAAGGGCTCCTGGGCAGCCAAGATGTACCAGAGGCATGGAAGGTGGCAATTTTGTTGGGAGCACTGACTGGTGGAAATTTCAGTGTCAGCTGACGATGGGAGGGATCATGCCCGAAAGATTTTCGCTTATTTGGATTCTTAAATAGAAAAAAAACCCCAATACCGATTTTGAGCGCACAGTTTTTTTGTTGAACTTTATTGCAGACTGAACCAGTGCGATGGCGATGACTTCCCCCTGACAGTACCCAATTTCTGCTTGGGCTCCAAGACGGTCCACTGGCCCAAGCCCTAAAGGTGTTTGCGCGGCGCAATCCTGACCAGGACTTTACTGCTCTGGGCCAAGAAGCCCTCTTGTTGGACTCCGAATATGCCTCAACACCATTCGAGGTAATCTGTTCCGCAGTAAATAAAAAAATTGCTTCCTCTAGAACGCCAAAGGAGGAAAGTTGGAATGAGCAGTTAAAGCGAGAGATAATAGAGGATGTTAAGGTCCAAATGAAAAGCCTTGCTTGGGAAAATGTGGCGGAGCTAAAACCTGTGCTTCATCCCAACCCTCCCACCTCAGCAACTTCCCGCCAACGGCTGTACAACGAGCGCGATGACCGAGGTAGGGCCATTTGCCGTAACTGTAGTAGAGGGGGACATGTAGCCAGGTATTGTAGAGCTGCAGCTACACATTCCAAGGATTTAAACTAGATGTCCCTGCCACTGAGGTCCAAGCAGCAGGGCTCGACCCCACACGATAACATCCAGGGCCCCAAAAACTTTTGTAGGCCAATGTCCTACCATACAAGTTAGTGCTTATTTAATGCCCACTTTACCGGAGCTAGGCTTGAAGGGGCACCCCCTTTGTTCCGTTTGAGGGCCGCCAACGGCCTTGAAATCCCCTACCCCGGCTATGCCATTATGGATTTCGAAGTAGAGGGTGTTAAAGTTCCTAAAAGGGGGGTGGTAATTGTGGAAGACCGGCACTGTACACACCCACTTATTAAAGGCATGAATGTAATATTGGGTGGTTGGGATGCAGTTTTTTAATATCCCAAGAAAATGCAGAAGGTGTGGAGGGATGCGTTTGCCAAATGCTCCTGTATAGATGCTGTAGCCTCTAGAGATGGCTTTCTGGGTAATGTGAGATTAGCCTCCCGAAAGAGTGTCACTGTTCCCCCAAGCAGTGAGTTGTTGGTGTGGGGGCGGGCTGAGAGTGAGCCACGTGGGGCAAACTACTGCGCCATGGTAGAAGCTATGCCTGATGCTGGTGCCATAGGTGTCGCCAAATCGCTGGTTGTAGTGAAGGATGGGAGTCTGCCCCTCCGTGTCTGTAACCCTCATTCCTACAGCGTCTCTTTAAGTCGGTTTGAGAAGCTAGGGCGGCTGTCCAGTATAGAGGATGGGGATGTGCATGGGGCTGAGGATCTCTGTCTGTCCCTGGTAGAGGAGGGTGTTGTAGAAGTGTCTCTGATTAATACAGCAGTCTCCCATCCAGGCCCAGAACTGCCACCAGAAGTTGGAGACCTAAGCGATCGGGCAGACCTAACGGCGCAACAACGGGAGCAGCTACGCACCCTACTGGCCAAGTGGGAGAAAGTGTTTGCTCAACATAAGGACAATTTTGAAAGGACCAACCTCGTGCAACACAAAACTCCAACTGGAGACTCCGCCCCGGTCAGGGAGAGGTACAGGCCCATCACACGCTACTTCCGCCACTCCCGGCGGGCGCCACCGCAGGCCAGGATTCTGGTCTAAACACCCAAAGCGTCTGAAATTTAGAAAGTGTGCATCTAGTGCGCTCGGAAGTTGCGTTCCAGCGTCGGCGGTCTGAAGGCTCCATTAGGGGGATGGATTTATTCATAGTTTACTTGGTTGGGACAGTGCATATTAATGAACACATCCCTCCGGATTATAGCCTTGGGCTAATTTGCATCTGTTGTCCCACAGTCACACTCAAAAACACTCACTCATCCACCCTGAACTATTTTACATGTTTTTTGCGGTAGGGTAAAACTTAGCACCCGGAGGAAACCTACACAGACACTGGGATAACATGTAAATTCCACTATGAGAGATCCTTTCGACCAGGCTTCGAACCCAGAACCTTCTGTGCCACCAGGGCATGGGTCAAATACAGAGGACAACATTTCCTACAGAGACAATAAAGCATAACTAATTAACAAAAACAAAAAATCTAAAAGGCCGACGGATCATGCTCGTGGACAGCAAAGGCTCTGATTGGATCTCGGAAAGAGCAGACGGAGGGACCTAAGACACTGCTCAGTGAGTTTTAGAGAATAGCCTGCTCAAAAAACACATACAGGGTTAGGATATTTATTCATATTTCACTGTACCTTGATGTTGAATTTTTTTCTCAGGGCGACCCTCAGGCCGAGTGCGGCTGGAGGGATCGCCCCTGGCAGGCAGTAGTCACACAGGGGGAGGCAGTAGCACTCTTTCATCCGACCCGCCACGGTGCACGCCAAACACGGGCCGCACCAGAAACCATAGCAACCTGAGTACAACAACACTTTATTTAAGGAAGAAATATTATGCATTATTTTGGACAGAAAACTACTCTGAGCATGCTGTCAGTGGTATAATTACATCAAACTATTACAGAATAGAGAGAGGAGCTTTTTAGACATAAGGGAGAAGTTACATGAGGGATGGATCAAATATCACCTCCGGGTATTTATCAAACATTACTTGATTTGCATAAACTACCAAGATCCTGGCAGGAATACCCCGCCCTCGACAGTACAGTACATCAGTTCTACTTAGGCTGGTTTGAGTCTGCCGGCTGAACTTGGGCCATGAACTTTGATCCTTGGTTTATCCCTGAAAGAAGCAGCACACTACTATAAGACAAAAGGTTTACTTTCAACACAAAAACAATATCTCAATGACACAAAACACATCACCCAAAAACTCGTGGCACTAAGAATCTTTATGAATATGGTCTCTGGTGACTGTGGAGGCCATTACAGTACAGTGAACTTACTGTCTTGTTCAAAAACCAGTCTGTGATGATTTGAGCTTTATGACAAGGTGTTTTATCCCGCTGGAAGTATCCATCAGAAAATGGGTACACTGTGGTCAAAAAGGGATGGACATGATCAGCAACAATACTCAGATGGGCTATGGCGTGGCAAGGATGCTCAATTGGTACTAAGGGACTCAAATAGTGCCAAGAAAATATCCCCCAAACCATTACACACCCACCACCAGCCTGAACCGTTGATACAAGACAGGATGGATCCGTGCTTTCATGATGTTGACTCCAAATTCTGACCCTACCATCCAAATGTCGCAGCAGAAATTGCAACTTTTTCCAATCTTCTATTGTCCAATTTGGGTGAGCCTGTGCAAATTGTAGCCTCAGTTTCCTGTTTTTAGGTGACAGGAGTGGCACCCGGTGTGGTCTTCTGCTGCTGTAGCCCATCTGCCTCAAGGTTTGACGTGTTCTGTTCAGAGAGGCTCTTGCAGACCTTGGTTGTAACAAGTGGTTATTTGAGTTACTGTTGCCATTCTATCAGCTCAAACCAGTCTGGCCATTCACCTCTGACCTCTAACATGAACAAGGCATTTTCACCTCCGAACTGCCACTCACTGGATATTTTCTGTTTTTCTGACCTTTCTCTGTAAATCCTACAGATGGTTTATTAATTACAGTCGATCAGAAGTTTCTGAAATACTCAGATCTGACCCTATGGTGTTGGTGCCAACCATGCCACGTTCAAAGTCACTTAAATGACCTTTCTTCCCCATTCTGACGCTCGGACTGCAGCAGATAGTCTTGACCATGTCTTCATGCTTAAATACATTGAGTTGCTTCCATCTGATTGACTGATTAGGAATTTGCGTGAAAGTGGAGTTGGATAGGTGTACCTAATAAAGTGGCCGGTGAGTGTATATGTGAGTGTGCGTTGTGCAGTTTCTTTGCCTACCTGTTGTGTCCGTCGCCGCTGTTGTCCCCTTTACATCACTGTTGCATGTAATATTATTGTTATTATAAAATAATGATTATCATAATTAAAGGAAAGTGGCCATTATCTGGTTTAATCTTTTTTTGTAATTCTGTTGCCGGTTAGGCCGTCAAATTAGTAAATTTCTTTATATAAGAATGTGGTAGGAGTTTACACGATTTTTTTTTCTTCATCCGACAAAAAATAATCGATCAATCTATCAACATCAATGACCTTCTGTGAAAACTTGATTTCAACTAATACATTTGTGGTTTATTGTTTTCTAATTATCAATGTATAATTATTGGGAAAATGTGAAGAGTATCGGTCTTTTTTGCTTCGTGGTTGCTAAGATGAATAACTTTACCAAAACTAAATAACATTATCTTTACCATAGACTATATAAAGTGAGGATAAAACTTTGTTCAATTGTTGTTAATTGTGGTAATATTGTGAAGAGAACTTTCCGTGTGCTGCTGTCAGAGCTGGTGCCTGTGGGAGGAGTTTGTCCCCATAGCTTCTTGCTCATAGCTTAAGGGAGATTATTTGCATCATGCACTTATTTGCATATGATAGGGTTAGGCAAGGGCAAGACACGCCTTGGGACTACAGGTAGTGCTCCTGTTTCCAGCTCTATTTTATGAGGTTCTGTCAGATATATAAACCCTTAAACACTGCTCTGTTGTCTATGGGCTATAAAGATTTTGATTTTTGATTTTATTCATTTGAGCAGAAATTTCACAATCACAAGTATTTACAATATTTACATTCCTTAGTTTACATGATTCTTTATTCATGTTGCCTGCTCTACTTACAGTATATTCTTATACATGAAAATAAATAAACATAACTATACAATCAAGCAAAAGTTGCTCTAGTTTCACCATTTGATGTATATCTACAATATGAATATCAATATGTATTTACAAATGAACCTCTATTTACAATTTGTCAGCTCGAAATGGAGTGGGAAGGAAGTTAAAACTTGTCGACTCCCACCCCATAAACATAATTCAAATAGCAAGAATGTTGTTGTTTAGTATTAAATAAATAATACCTTAATAATACTTTGTTGCGTTCGGTGCAATTTAATACTTTAATAAAGCTAAATCTGAAACAATGATCACTGTGCCCCAGCAAGGCCCAGCGCCCCAACTCAGGCCAGCTCCAGTCACCAGAAGCAGCCACCACAGCAGCAGACCAATCATGCAGAGGACCATGGTCCAACACACAGCAGGCTCCAACGACACCATGAGCAACCACCTCACTGGCCATTCAAATCATTGTTTTGTTCTTTCAGATGAAAAGGAATTTAATCACTTCTTACAAAGTTTCTTTACCTTTGATAGAGCCGATTATCACCACCGTGACTGTCCTAGCTACACTTTCAGGCCGAAGATACTTTCTTTTATTTTTACTCTTTTAATATATATATATATATATATATGTTTATTTATTTATTTATTTGTATTCTTATTTTGTTTTTTCTCTTTTGTGTGTCCAAATGCAATATAGACAGTGAGGTCATTCCACACAGCGTTTCCACAGAACGCCACCATGACGTAGGTCCACTGCCCCTCCACACCACCAGCCACCACCACAGAAACCACCTCCAGAGACACAGAACCAGCCTAAGAGACTGGTCCAATGCTCACCAAAGCAACACCAATCACTGCTGCACCTGTGTTCTACACTCAATACACCAATGTATGAAATATTCATGAAATATTAATTGTTCTCTATGCAGATATATACACACATCTGTTTTCACATACATAACTACATATGTAACCCTGTTGTTTTATTGATTTTATTTTACGGTGATAATGACTGTTCTTATACCCAAACTGGTAATAACCAACACAATAACTATTGACCCTTTAGTGAATTATTAGTATTTTTCTCTCTCATATTTTGTCCATATAATCTTTTTAAAATGTGATTTGAATTCATGGATACTTGAGCATTGCTTCAGCTCCAGGCTCAGGCTGTTCCAGAGCTTCACCCCACAGACAGATACACACCAACTCCTCCGTGTGGTCCTGACCGCTGGGAGTTTAAAGTTACAACATCCTCTCAAGTCATGCTCATATTCGTATTTGATAAACGTCTTTTGAATATTGGCTGGTAGAGTTTTTGCGTTAGCTTTAAACATCAACTGTGCAGTGTTAAGATTAACCAGGTCTTCCAACTTTAAGAGTTTTGATTTAAAAAATAAAACGTTAGTGTGATCGAGATAGCCCACTTTGTTTATTGTTCTTATTGCACGTTTCTGTAATATCTTGAGGGGATGTAGGAAACCTTTATAGTTGTTTCCCCACACCTCAATACCAAAGTTTAAGTAGGGCAGTACACGCGAACAATACAATAAATTCAAAGCATTATAATCAATTCCATTGAATTCCAGTTCAATTTGTCATTCATTATTATACCTAGAAATTTGTTTTCAGATACCCTATCGATTTTGACACCATCTATGTCACTCAGAAACTCCCTGTTCCAACCAGGTTTGGAACCCAGGACATTCTTGCTGAGAAACGAGAAGGTCCATATGACATTTGCGGCTAACAACTCGGTTTGCAAAATCTTCGCTCATGCTACAGTTTTTAGCTTTGGGAAATCTCACTGACCATTGCACAAGTTCAACAAGTAAAAGCACAGAATACCAGGAGCGGAGAGTGACACTGTGGCTCTACTACAAACTGCCCTTGTGTCCGTAGGCAAGCCACTTCCAATGACTTTGGGTCCTGACAGACGCCACATGAACACAAGAGGTCATTACATTGAGCAAACTTTCTCCTCTATCTTTGTGATTTGTGTGTCGTGCTTTTTTTTAAATGTATTGTATTTAAAATGTATATTTTTCAATGTATGAAGTTGTACAAATTAGTTTGAGAACAAAGTTGTGAAAATACTTCTTGGGTCACCTTATAAACATTCATTCCACAGCTGTATAGTTATCACTGCATAAGTGGTTGGTTTGGTAAGTCAAATTCATAACTTAAATCTTAAATAAAACCATCTTAACCTTTCCTGGATTGTAAACGGACATTTTACTTCCACATCTAGAGCAGACTCCAAATTCCTGCAAACTGAGACATGCACTTTTTAACAAAGCTTTAATCACATCGTACAGCAATAAATCAAATCATGTTTTTGGTGTTGTCTCCTCTTTCCACTTTGCAAATTCATGTTTTTTTATGGAATATTTCATTAATTTAATATATTTGTATTATTATTTCATTTGTTTTGTTGTGGTTAAATTGTGAAGAGGACTCACCGTGTGCTGTTGCCAGAACTGGTGCCTTTGCCGTTGGGGAGCGGTCTGGCTCGATGGTTTCTTGTTGCCAAAACATCAAATGTGAAAAAGACAATGGACCTTCTGATGAACAGCAACAAAGTCCTTTTACCATGCCAAATGACTTTGTTTGTGTAAATTAATTAAACACAGGATTCCATTTCATTTATTCCTGCTAACTGACTGGTTTTATTTCAAAGACAATATTTTATGCATTGATTTGTGATTTTCCCTCCAGTTTCCTATGAGACATCTGTGTGTTGTTGTTGCCCTCTGCTGGGCCCTGAAGGTATCCATTCATTTTACCTACGATTTTTCATACAATATATATCTTATTGGAAATTAATTTATCACATATGTTGACTAAAATGCCTATACCCAAGATCTCAGCTGTTGATAAATAAAATAAAAACAACATAACAATACATTTAAAGAGGCACTCCGTTGACTTTTATAGAGGAAACTTTATACTGTATGTACAAAGGTCTGGTGCTGAGCTGTGGTCAAAGGCACCAGGCACAGGATGTAGCCCCTTCTGTCAGGGCAAGGCCAAGTTTAATAATCATCCATCCATCGATGCATTTTCTTACCCTTAAAGGGGACATGTCATGAAAAATCCACTTTTTGTGCCTTAAATGCCTTATGTTGTGTAGTTGGAGCCTCCAGAAGTGCAAAAAAGTTGAAATCAGTCTCTTCATGGGTTGCAGAGAATACTTCATATTCTGTTTAGGTAAGATTTTTCAACCCGTTCTGATTTTGCCATTCTCTATTACGTGTTTAGAATTATTACGTCACAGTATTTGCAGCGGGACTGCTATATAAGGGCATGGGCGTCTAACTAAACACTTCGGCCCAGCCCTCCTCTACTGTGCATCACTTCGAATTTTTAGTCCAAGCTCAAGGATGCCAGCGAACAGGGCTGGACTGGCCATCGGGCGTACCGGGCAATGCCCAAAGGGCCGATGCCCATATTTGGGCCGGTCTCTCTGCCTCATACAAAACACATGTTTATGAGAAGTGTAAATCCGTTGAGAATTGTTCGAGCGGAGCGCGCGTATCCGCGGGGCACCTGCTGTATGTACTCGAACGGGATTCCGCCACCTCAGCGGCCGCAGTGTTCCGGGGCATCTGCGGCCGCTTTGTAATGAGCAGCTTCCGCGTCCAGCCGCTGCGAGAGGCTGTGAGCGTCCAGCCGCTCGCAGCCGCTCCACCGTGTTGCGGCTGAGCGCGCAGCCTCAACGTGGCCATGTACCCAACCCCATAAACGCGCACAGGACCATGCGTGTCTTTGAGTAATCTGTGCACCCAATAAATACACCGCTGCAGGAAACAGTCCGCGTCTCCCCTCTCCTCTCGAAGCGCGATTAAATAAATAAAGCTCTGATACCTACATTTTGCATTGCATTAAAAGTTCATGTTTGAGCCCAAAAGTAATATGTTGTGAACAAATTAAACAGATTTAGAGCCAGCAAATGGCTGACAATATGCATTTCAGTCTTTTTTGACCAATTCTCATCCCTGTAACAAACAAAAGTGTTGTCTGTGTCCACCTCCCTCACTCTGTGACTTGTTCATTACTCTCTTGTAATGTAGACTATTGCATTTTATTTTATTTTTGAAACTGCACATATCCTGATCCTTTACAGTTTTTCCTTCCACATACGGTATAAACTAGGAGTGGGCAACCTGCGGCTCCGGAGGCGCATGCGTCTCTTTCCTTCTGTAGAAGGAAAAACGTTATTAACGTTTTTAAATGCTGTAAAATTGTGCATTAGTAATATTCAATTTAAACATTTCTGTCAACATAGTGTGTCATATCCTGTGACGTAGGCCCGCGCCAGGTGGCCGGTGTTGTAAACAAACCGGCATGTGAGCATCATAGACTGTGCGCATGGAGTCAATCATAAGACTGGACTAAAAATGAAAATTAACATTTGCTCTTAGTCAATGAGGAAGGACTGCTTCATGTATGCGATATAATGAGAAGTTACTATGAGATAATTGTATCTGTGCTTAGAAACTACAAAAATGGCCGCTCGGGGTGGAGTTGAACCTGTGTCACCTGGATGGGGGCGTGGTCAAAAGCGCCTCATTTGCATTTGAAGAGACAGCACCAAAACAGGTTGCTCTCAGAAGCACCTCAGAACAGGTGTAGAAGAAAGGCCCGTGGAGCTACAAATAATGAGACTCAGACCCAGGCATCGCAGTTACGCTTTATATAGGCCACAAATGAATGATTTAGATGTAAAAATCAATTATTTGAAAATACGATATGTCCACTTTAATCCATTTCTGGGTCGGGGGGTGGCAGTCAGAGCTGCACCCACTTCACAGAGCACCAGCCCCTCACTGATCTTCCTGCAGGTGGTGAGTCCACAGGAGCCTTGGTCTTTCAGCGGGGGCTTCAGGCAAAGTGGGGTTACGTGTTTGCCCAAGGACACAACAACAGCAGACATCAGTGGGAGTCATGAAGTAGGTCTCATGGTGGGCTTGAACCCACCACCTTCACGCCTAAATGACACATATTTATACAAATTGTTTTTGGATACTCAGAATTCAGTCACTCCATACACAGAGTTGGAAGCCACAGCTGCCCTGGGAAAGACTGACAGAAGCTAAACCTTCAATCTGCTCCATTGGCTCCTCCAACCACCACTTTCATACCATTACTGGATGCAGTAGGACAGAAGGATTCTACAAGTCCATGTTATAAAAGAAATGACTGCAAATGTCCAAAATGAAAATAAAGTCTAGTCCCAACAGTGGTGAGGTTTGAAAAACTTTATTGAAAACACTTCAACTGACAAAATCAAATATTCTTTTTTTAGTGGCTCTGCTACTGTGGCTGTTTCTTGCGGTATTTGATCTCACGATGCATCTGGCAGTAGGAGCACCACTCACAGAAACAGGACGAGCAAATGTCCTTACACAGAGAACCCTGGACAAACAAACACATCAGCTTGCTATGTGGGAAACAAATAATTAGTCCTAGAAGTTTCAGACAGACAAAATGTTAATGTTTTTAAGTATGTGGTATTTCAAACTCACCCCACCGTACATAGCAAATACAACTATACTTAACAATACAAGTGACTTATTCAACCCTCTACACCTCAGATTGTGCTGTATTGTTGAGAAAATACTGAATTCAATCCCTATAGTTGATTTGAGGATGGGTAACCTCTTCACTATTCCTTGTGCATTCATGTTTTCCATCATCTGTGAACCTTCTGACATTCCAAGCCTCATTGTTTAGTTGGTTGGGACAGTGCATGCTATCGAATGGTGGAAACATTTTTTTGCAAGTGCAGAAATAACAAACTCCAAACAGAAAGGCCCTGTCTCACCCAGAAATCAAACCTGAGGCGTAGCGCAAACCACTATGCCACCATGCTGCACACTGTATTGCTCATCCACTTGTACCGCTGTGACTTGACCCTGGCTGGAAGATTAGAGGGAGACCATGGAACTGCCTTTGAGGGTTGTTGGGCTGATAGAATGTTATAATTCTTGCCTCCTGCCTCATTATTTCTACTTCTACTGCCTACATTATTTCACTTTTTCATTCACTACATCTACTTGAAGCTTGGAACTGAAATCTATCTCATTGGGGCAGCTTCATCACTTGGTTGTAGGCACGTTTACCATCAAACTGCATCTCAACCATTTTGTAGAGGCCTACATTTTTATAAAAAAAAACAAAACATATATATAGATAATAGGAGTGGACCTAAAAATGTAGGGTAAACCTGAGTGGTCAAGGGCTCTTCAAGGATTCGTAGAAAATGAAGTCAGAGTACCTCAGACATTTTCCACTTTGTTTTCTAAATCATTTTTGATAGTACTCCTACATCTCAATAACATTTTTTTTTTCCTTGCTCTCTTTAAGGAGTCATCATTAAAGGATTAATATGTGTGTACTATGTGTAGTGTACGGTGCGAGGACTTTTACCTTGATACCATATCTGTGCCTAATGGCGACCCTCAGAGCCAGGGCAGAGGGGGGCACACACAGGGGCAGCCCGCAGGATGCAGTGATGGCCGGGCTGAAGATGTCACAGAGAGGCAGACAGCGATTCTCCCCCAAGCCGCCGGCCACAGAGCAGGCCATGCACGGGCAGCAGAAGAAGCCATAACAGCCTGAAACAAAACATCCATGACCAAACTGAAGGGTGTGTGGATGTGAGGAAACGGGAAAGATGGATTCTTTTCTTTCATGTGGTACAGCTGTCACAGCAGTTGAAGAGGCCGCTGTTCCAGTTGACCAGCTGTTGGGACATTCTGAGCAGGTTTAAGTAGTCTAAAAATGTGGAGAAATGCATATTATTATAATTATTACTACTACTATTGCAGAACATGTGTATTTCTAGATACAGACAAGTCATGTTTATTGATGTAGATCTGTCTATCTTAAGTAGTTTTGATATCTCACACTCTGATGCCTGTCCGTCCAGTTTTGAAGTGTGAAATAACAAAGCAAGTTAAGTGTGGTTTGATAGTGGAGTTGGATTGGTTTTTGATGCCAAATGTAAAATAGTAGATACACAGATAGAATTATTAGGAATTATCATTTTCATTGAGAGCAATAAAATTAAATATAATATGGATTTTTATTTCAACAACAGAATAACAAACAAACTGAGCAAATATGATTATATAATATATATTTTTTGGTTGGGGGTCAGTCAGTGTTATGACTCAGTACAGGGCTTTTCCAGCACCTGTGGGTGTGGATGAATATTGAATGTCCTCCATGATGGAAAGTTTAACGTGCATGGGTGCATGCATACGTAGCGTGATTGGTGTTGCACCACACCCTTCCTTGTTTCTTGAGAAAAAAATAATCATAGTCACTAAATCCAAAAAATAATAATTTGAAACTAGCTGTAATTATGGTTAGATGGATATTTTTGGATTTGGTTTTATACGCATTAAAGATAAGTTACTACTTCTTCACTAGATTTTTTTAACCAACCAATTATGAATACATATTTAAAATGTTTTTTTTGTAGACATCCTCCTGAACCTTTTACTAGTGGAATGACTCTACATCCTTTCCTAATGTCATACATAATTGTACAAAAAAAAAAAAAAGTAATCTATTATTATGATCTGTTGTATAGGATATGAACAGGATACTAAATACGAGAACTAATTAGCACAGGTCTGAAAGAAAAACCAAATATGCAGAAGTCATCATGGTCTAAATAATAATTCCTCACGTCTGCAACTTGAGAATGCAGTGATTTCTTTAAACTTGACATTAAATTATATTATGTTCTCATATTCTATCTGCAAGTCAGTAAGAGGTTTTTAGTTTGCATTACTTCCATCTACAAAATCAACAAATTCATCAACAATCAACTTTATGATTTCCCCAGAAAAATGCCCCCATAATATTTAGTTGAATGTCTTACCTGGTGCAGTGTGTGCGGCCTGCCGTCAGTGTGATTGCTGTGAGAGTGAGGAGTGGCAGGTGCAGTGTTTGAAAGGTGACTGAAAACATCTTATGAATGCATCACCACAACCTGCTCCGCTGCTCCAGTCCACCTCAAGGTGCAGCCCATCAGCTCCGTCCGCCTGGGAATCACCTCTCTGTTCTTTGGGCTGGACGGAGTTTGGTCATACTTGTGTTTTTTTAGCCCGGTTTACCAGAAAAGTCTCCTTCTGAGCACAAAGCATAGAGCACATAGAATAGGAGGCATACAGTATTACAGTATTGAGGTCCATGGTCTCTCAGCTGTGTAAAATGGACATTATGACTTCGAAACGCCACTGTATTTTTGACAGCAGAGTATAATAATAATAAGAAAATTACATTACATCATCATGCAACTTCATTAACATTGAAACGCCCTAATCTCCAACAACGATGAGTCTGCCTACAGGAGGGAGGTGGACCGGCTGGTGTCCTGGTGCAGTGGTAACAACCTGGAGCTGAACGCCCAGAAGACAGTGGAGATGATTGTGGACTTCAGGAAGAGCACTGTCCCCCCGCCCCCACCCTCCGTGATGGACTCCCCCATCACCTCTGTGGAGTCCTTCCGTTTCCTGGGCACCACCATCACCCAGGACCTCAGATGGGAGCCGACCATCAGCTCCCTCATCAAGAAGGCCCAGCAGAGGATGTACATCCTGCGGCAGCTCAGGAAAGCCAAGCTGCCTGCACAGATGTTGGTGCAGTTCTACACGGCCATCATCGAGTCCATCCTCACCTCCTCCATCACCGTGTGGTTTGCTGGAGCCGTAGTCAGAGACAAGCAGAGACTACAGTGCATCGTGCACTCTGCAGAGAAGGTGATTGGCCGCAGCCTCCCATTTCTGCAGGACCTGTACGACGCCCGAGCTCGAGGCGGGACTGGTCGCATCTCTGCTGACCCCTCTCACCCTGCACATAGACTGTTCCAACCTCTCCCTTCAGGCAGGAGACTACGGTTGATTTGGACCAGAACCTCCCGGCATGAGAACAGTTTCTTCCCCTCTGCTTTTGGACTCGGGAACACTTTGTTAGTATTAGATAGCAATATGGCCTACGTGCAGGACTCTACAAGGACTCTGATTATTTTGACTATGATGTGACTGTCTCTGTGTGACACGTACGTCTTTCGATGTGTGACGTGACAATGACTATATAAACTGTGTACTGACTCCATTTTGTCTGAGAGAAGGAAACAATTGAAACCACTGGAACTTGAGAGAAACATAAATAAACTTCCAGAGTTTGACGCACCACGATCCGTCTCTGTCTGCTTCATCCCTGACAGATTTGGTGGAGAATGCGCGGCTCAGTGTGCGCCATTCTCTGGATTGTTTTGAGGGAGTTTCCTTTGTTTCTTTTTTTCGGCGTGTGGGAGCAACAGCACGTTATCTGGAAGGGGAGAAATCCCAGCGGACACTGAAAGGGCTCGCTTTTGGATGGGCTTGCTCTTGCTCCCTTACTTTCTCCGTTTGGTGTTTAAATTGAATTTTTCGACGCAGAAAAGATGTTGGTCGACCTCTCGAACAGTCCGGACAAAAAATAAGGTAAGCAGACACCTTTTTTAATATGTAAAGTCTGCATAATTGGATACTATCTAAATTTTGAGCTGTCCCGGAGGTCTGTCCAAATCTCTCTAAATCAAATTTTCTTTGTTATGTCTTTGTCAGGTCTTTGTCATGTCTTATGTTGTAGAAAACAGGTTAGCTGTGTGGGTAACCAGTCCCTATAGGAAAAAAGAACCCCTTGACGTATCGGGGTTCCTGTCCTTTGAAGTAGTCAGGGCAGAGAAAGAGTAATTACAGGGTAGAGGCCCTTTTTTGAGTAATTACCGGGGTAGAGGCCCCTTGAGAAGAGAAAAAGAGTAATTACCATGGATGTATTATATTAACTGGATAGGGTATTACTAGCTTGTAGCTGAATAACTCATGTGCTCAGGGGATTCTCGCGGTACTGCAGACTGAACCAGACTAAATTCACGTGGGCTACCCAGAAATTTTCCCCATAGAACTCAATGCATATTAAAACAGCTCAACCTCAGCTGACAGAGAACCTACAGCTTTAATAAAGATCGGATTTTGTGGGGATTTTAGTGTCCCTTGTCATCCTGAACTTTTTTTCTTCTTAAATCCTTCGGTTTTGTTTAAATCCACACTTTAGTGCCACAAACTCTGCTCCTCTGGCTCTCGCTCTAACTCCCGCTCTGATGAACTGCTCTGATTGGTCAGAGCGCAGCCGAGCCCCTCTGTGCACGTGCGTGAGACCCGGTGTGAGACCCACACACGCGTGTTTGGCGCAACGCATTATGGGAGATCATCCACTGCGCAGAACCGGGAGGACCAGACGATGCCCAAATACAGGCGAGTTTCCATTAGATCTTTGCGAGTTTCAGGCAACTTCCGCTAATCTTTCAGCTCCCATGCAGTCACAAAGCGCCACTGAGCACAACCATTCATTTGAATAGGGCGCCATCTTGAATCGCCGGGGCTTGGTAATTACCGGGTAGAGGCCCGTTTTTGAGTAATTACCGGGGTAGAGGCCCCTTGCTAGCCAGAGAAAAGTGTTGGATCCTTAGTGAAACCATGGTGTAAAAATGAAAGCAATTTTTAAAAAGGGAAACGTGTTAAGGAGGCCTTTTGTCACAAAAAGTTTTGTAATTAACCAATTCCAGGCTTGATAAATGACAAAAGTAAAGAAGCAACAATATTTCAGTGATCACGGTTTAAATTACATACAGAAAAAAGGAGTTATTGTTTTTTAGTTCGTTTTTTTGGCGTGAACAGAGTTCAGCTGAGAATGCAGAGTTTTATCTAAAGTTGAGCTATGAGAGCTTTCGTGAGTTATTTACATTTTTTGCCGAGTTTTATCTACAGTTGAGCTTTTAGCTTGCGTGAGTTATTTACATTTGTTGTCGCAGCTCGGGCTGTATCCAACAGTTGTTTTTTTTGTTTTTTAGAAAGAGATTTGAGTTTAAATTAGTTTGCTACCTCGATAAAATAGAAGCGTAAACGTTAAAGACAAGAGTGCCTTTTGTTACAAGTGTGGAAAGTGATCATTTCTAGACTTGGATGACAAAAGTATAAACTACAACATCAGTTATATTCGCTTAAAAAAGTAATCTTGAAAGTTCTTCTTCTTTCTGTTTTTGCATTTTTGCTAAAACACTACTTTCTGCCTGTGTGTGTGCGCGTCTGTGTGACAGGAACCCCCCGCCCTCGCTGCGCTGCTGCTGCTGCTCTGATTTAAAGGGGAGCTACTGCTTTTAGGATTTTGGCTTTTCATAATAGTTATTCCGTTAAATTTGCTAAATTTGCCATTGAACATTGTGTTATGACACAGTTAAACGTTTTAGACACCATTTAGGGAATACAAGTTTTGAAAAGTATGTTTTTGAAACCCAAATATTAGTGCTAAAGCTTTGCTTTTCTTTTTTAATCTGCTGCTTATTTTTTGAGTCCATTATTGTATCTCTGATATATTTCATAGCTGTTTGTGAGAATTTTTTCATGTATTTTTATTTTAGTTACAAAAGCCGTTTTTCAAACATTTAAATTAGAATCTGTGTTAAAAGTGATTATTGATCATAGACTTCGTCTAAAATGAAAGAGGGAATTAGGATTAGCTGTAAAAGTATTATATTATTAAGTTGAACTCTGCCCAATTCACCCAATTCACATTGCAAGCGGTGACTTTTTTGTTTTGACTATGCACCTGACCTTGCTCCTGCTCCTCCTGCTGCTACTGCTGCTGCGCACAGCACAGAGAGATCTGAAATGTGCTCCAATTCATATTGACTTAATTTACTGAGATAAATGTTCAAGTGTAAAAAGGAAATTGCATAAAGTGATTAATCCAGTTTAGTTAATCTTTTGATTTGATTTCATGTTTTCATGTTTTTTCAAATTCGTTTTCATTTTTACCCAACCCAAGGACGCATAGATAATTAAGCACACAGTACATAATACATATTTTAAAGTTTGAAGGTTTTTTGAGATTTGAGTCTTGTTTTTATTAAGAGAGTTTCTGGTCTTAAAATGTCATCATTAGTAAGATAATAAGTAATCTTTATTTATATAGCGCATGTTGGAAAGCCAAGAGCGCTCCAAAATTGTTTAGACTTTAGAGAGAAAAACAATTTCACTCACATACTGATATCTGTTGTTTTTTAAATTGGCCGTCTCAAGGATTGTTTTTCAGACTCTGCCACACTGTACAAGGGTCACTGCTGGACTGGACACTGAGAGATCAGAACAGTGGCCCAGAGTAGACACCATCCAACCAGCCGCAGATCGTAAAGGCGACATAGCTACCTCCGTGTGCCCCTCCCCCCACTACAGACTGATGGTTGTAAGTGGCAGTGAGACCGGGGCCACGCAAGTGGGGTTATCTGTAGGCAGTGGTGGGTGAGTTGTTTTGCAATCTGAAAGTATGCCCACTTTGCTGGTTTACATCACCACAGTGTGACCTTTGAGACCTACGGGTGGTTCGAGGAGTCTGGAGACACAACCCCAAAATTCACACCCTACATACACACACACACACAATCATACACTCACACATTCACATTTACATATAGATACATGAAAAAGCATAACCTGAAAGAAAAAAAAGCATTTAAAGTTTACTCCAATGTAAACACATTTTTAATTGTCTATCACTTGAGTCTTTATTTGAATCAGTATTTTTTGAGACCAGAAATGTTCATTTGAGTTCTATATTGTCATGGACATAATTGACGTCTGTCCTGACACTTTTTATGTTTTGATTTTGTACTGTGTAAAGTAATTACATTGATTACATCTGATAAAAACACAAATTAGAGAAGTAAACTGAATCATTGCGCTTGCTTTTGTCTGAGGGACATTAGCAACAACATCTTTAAAGTAGAATAAAAATGACTTAACCATAGAGTAACTACTGCATAACAAGATGTGTACAGGAACTGAGACACTGCACCATTGACCAGAAGTGCATCGCAAATGACCTGATGTGCTTCAACTGAAAAGACTGTATCTGGAGATCCGATGTGCATCTGGAGAGACCAGAACCATGGCTTGGACCCTACTGATGTCCAAGATGACATCTCTATATGACCTGACCTGATGACGACTGAGACTCACCCTCAGGGGAA